ATGTAGTTACAGCTTCTGGAGAGGATAGCTGGACCACTGACAAGAGAGCTCAGTCCAAGGAACTCTTACTTTGCAATCCTAAGGACATCTCAGACAGTAGGAAATAACTGGACACATACATGAAGTTTAGCTTGGCTATCTTTATCTGAGATAATTGCCTTCTCCATAAAAAAGCAACATTTTTTTTCCCCCTGGCATCAATTCCAGTGAGCCAGACAGGCGAGAAAATTGGTCTTGTAAAATGGAATAGACAAGAAAACTAAAGAAAATAGCCCCATAAACTGGAACCGTTGCATGTCTCCACTTGCAGCTGTCTGACCTGCTGTTATTACTTTGGGGGAGGGGGAGGTTGTCAGTTTTTTAAGGCTCACCTAACACAGCTGTGGGGAAAGCATGCTTGCATTATCACTGAGATGTTGAGAAGCTACCATGTGCATTATAGTACACCAGCTATAGCTGAGGATACCATTATCATATCAATGAAAGATACCTGGCGCCTATTTTTGTGAATTTTGTTTAACAGGATGACACCTTGAAATGTGATGCAGAATCTATTTCTGGCGCAGCTCCTGATATTTGCATAGCATACAAGCTTCATTTGGAGTGTGGCAGATTGATTAACCTGGTTGACTGGTTGGAGGTAAGTAAAATGATTCAGTGGACAACTGCTATTCTGCTGGATGTTTTTTTAAGCCGCTCATTCATGCTGACTACTAGACTCAGTATAAAAGTACCGTGCCTTCAAATCAAAATCTTCAGTACAGCAATAGACCAGCATAAGAAGGGCAGGGTACAGTCAATTAAAAAACATTGAAGACACATCAGTGCAGATCCTTTCATGTTCTTCCAGGGTATGTCAAATCACAATTTGTGTAAATTCTTCCGGTTTTTTTGTATCAAGATTCAATAAATTAATGCACTAGTAACGAGGCTTATCTCTGCTAAGCATCTTCCATCACTATTCCCATTTCTGCTGATATTTTCTCTTATTCAAGAGCAACCACACATCATTGGAGTTTGTCTTTATTAAATAGCAGGGAGATGCTCCTCCTTTAAAGGGTTTAATTTTCTGGAGGAAAGTAGCACAGAATGCGCCTTCTATTTTGTAAGTTGGGACTTTGGGGAGAATGGGAAACAGAGGTCATTGTTCCCTCTGGCAAAATGAAGGGAAAGCCTCTTCCATTTCTTGCCGTGGGGCTCTGCTAATGCCACTTTTTCTTCTACCAAGGAGATAGAAGAAAGGCCACGAAATGTTTGTTTTTTTCATGGACTGGACTTTTGCAGAATATGCCAGCCATAATTTGTTGCTCCTTTTTGCAAAAACTAAAAGGAGAAAAAAAATGTTTTTCTTTTGCAAGCAATTGTGTTTTTCATATTCTAACTCATAGGAGCAAAATCAATTTTCTTTCATCCATAGGAAATTTATTTTCTGCCTTTAAATTTGGGCAAGTAGTTTGAGTTTCTCACAGCATCCCAATAGAAATGAAAAAAAAAAAAAAACAAATCTATTTCTTTTCAGTTGTGGTAAGAATAGTTTTTAACTTCTTTATGGTTTTTTTGCATTGGCAAAACGATGTATTGCTGCTGATTTTGGCATAAGCGCAATTTGAAAGAACGTTCTATCTATGGAGAAAAAGATTAGGGACTAAGTTTTGTTAGAGATACCTGCAGTGGCAGGCTACATTCCTTTAACAAATAGCAGAAAGGGTATCAGTTTTCCGAAAAAAATAAATAAATAGCCAAGTTTGGAAATAGATGGGAAAGCACTTAGAAATAATGAATGTGGCTAATAAAGCCAACTTTTTAGCTTTGCTTAGGACTCTTGCTTTTGTTTCATCTTTATGGTTACCCATAAATTAGGATGGAAACTATTGTGCGACTTGCAATATTTGTTCTGGAATTTAACAGAAATATTTGACAATCTTGTTATGCAATAAATTGATATTAATTTAAAAAACCCACATTAAAATATATATAGGCATTATCTCTCCCTGTCTCCTTGTTGGTCTTTGATGTCCTGCTTCTTAATGACAATAATATGTAAGCTAGGATGTACAACTTTTCTGAATGTTTTATAACATGTTATTTCTCTAGGCTTTTTCAACAGTTGTAACTGCAGCTGGAAATACAGATTCCACAATAAAAAACCAGACAGATGACATTATCCAGTATCCTTGTTGATATTCTAAGAAAATCAGCATTTAATTCAAATAAGTGTAAAACTGCAATCTTTTACTTACCCAGGAATAAAACCCATAAAAGTTCTTGTGACTTCCACCATCTACAAAATTCCTGTGCATTGGCTCTTTGAACTCAGTGGAATTATTTGTGAGTACCGTATATTCCACCGTATAAGGCGACCCGGAGTATAAGACGACACCCGTCTTCAGCGCAAAGTTGCATGCCTAGAAAGTCATCTTATACGCCGGAAACTACCGTAATTTCCAGCGTATAAGATGACTCGGCGTGTAAGACGACCGACTTCGGCACCGATTTCCGCGCTTTCAAAAGTCGTCTTATACGGCGGAAAGTATGGTAAGCAGCAGAGAGAGCACTGTAACGTTATGCAATCTGGAGACAGTTTCGGAGCACATGAAAATAGTTTTTTGTAGATGAAATCACTGTATATGAGGGGATTTAAGTCATAATGTTGGGATGAAAGTGCTAGGGCTCTCATTGTCTGATTTGCTTCAAGTTTATTCCAGATATTATCTCCCATAAAATGGTAACAGCTCTTTCTATCTAATGAAGAATCCCACTGGGAGAAATCAGAATAAGGCAGTTTCAGAATTCTGCTGCTACTTCAGATTAGTCTACTATATGGTAGCATGCAAGGTGATCTACTGTGGAATTTGGGATGTAACAGGTTAATGAAGAAATAAAGGAAAATGACTTTCTGGGAACTTTAGGGCAGATTATTGAGGATGCTAAGCAGTAGAAGCAAGTAGGAAAAAAGGGCTTTACCATAGAGTAAATGTTTAACCTACTCTTGAAGATGAATTCCAGAGATATCCAAATTTGTTGCATTAGTTGAAGATATATTACTTGGTAGATTGAGCATACATGCAATATTGTATGGCTATTGCAAAGAAATGTGAGCAATTTATGAACATGCTAAATTGTGTAGTAAACCGTCCCAAATGTGTTGTTATGTATAGTAAATTATTTTATCTTGATTGATGGAAATGCCATTTCCTTGACTAGAACTCCAAGTGCTCGGTTCATTAGAGCAGTGTCAGAATTGGAATTTTTGGGATTCATAAAACCCACAAAACAGAAAACGGATCACGTGGCAAGGCTGACATGGGGTAGTTGTTAATATGCAGTTCTCATGCAAATGAAAGCTTATCTATGAAACAAGATTCTGTGGCAGTAAGAGAAATATTATCCACTGTAATAACAGCAATAAAGTGTACAAAATGATTTCCTGGATTTTGCTCCTTTTCTAAGTAGGCATAGAAGTATCTGCTTATATAGAAGCAAGATAACTGATGCATTTTGGATTAAGATACACTTTTATGATTTTTCAAGCAGGGTATTGCCAGTTCAAGCCCATCTCTTCATCACTTAATCATCTGCTTCTATTTTATCTTCATCATGTTAAATATTGTTACTTGGGCAATATATTTCTTTCCTTTTAAGTTATTCTTTGAACCTTTCTTAAGTTTTTTGCCAGAAATTGTGTTATTTTAAAATCAGTTATTTATACAAGATAACTTTAAACTCTTAACACATGCTCAATCTGGACAGTTGATGTATATATTATGCTTAGTCTTTTCTGCATGCAGAGAAAATGGACATATAGCTCCAACTCGTAAAGGATAGATTATCCACATACACTTCATCGTGTAGCTGACCTTGGTTCACTTAGTTTCAATCTATTTCTACCTTCAATCTATTTCTACCTTCCGTCTATCAAGGCAGCAATTTAGATCACTCAGGCTTCAAAAATGCAGGCTTCCTTTTAGTTCAGTGTTTCTCAACCTTGACAATTTTAAGGCATGTGGACTTCAACTCCCAGAATTCCACAGCCAGCATTGCTGGCTGTGGAATTCTGGGAATTGAAGTCCACATGCCTTAAAATTGTCAAGGTTGAGAAACACTATTTTAGTTGATAGCAGAGTTACTTCAAAGGTGCACACTTCCAGACCTCCCTCCTAGCTTAGAAGAAAAGCACTAGAAGAAGCTAATTTAGGTCAGTTTAACCTTCAATGAGTAGATAGATTCCTTAAAGTCATGGTACCTTTTCTTCAATCTTGTAGAAAAAGTCATCCTTGAGGTTTAAAAAAAAAAAAAAAGTGCTGCTTTATAGATCACATTGTCCACTTCATTCAAGTTAACACATTTATGCATGGAAATGTGTTATATAAATCTTGAGTGACCTCTATGGTGTCCAGGTTTGTGAAACTTCTAGCCACGTTTTTAGTTAAATTAGAATGTTTTGTTCATACTAGAACTGCAACCTTAAAATCAATTTCCTGTTACTGTATCATTTACAGCCTATCTTTTCTCTGGAAATTCCTGGCTTTCATGGAGGTTCCCCTAATTTTATCTCCAAAAGTGTATAGAATGGATTGCAAGAGGATGAATTGGCCCAATGTAATATCGTAAGCTTCATGTAAATTTTGAGAAATTCAACTTAAGCCTTCCAGGTCCAAATCAGAATCTTAATCACCACATAACACTGGGACTATTGTTCTTTGAAACATTTTCAGTTTTTCAGCTCCAGTTTTGTTAATTAAAGACAAACTGACATTCCCAAGCTAATCATTTTGGCATGTGGGAGGGCCGCTCAATAAACCTTTTACCCCAAATATAAATATGCAAACACATTTTTGCAAGGAACAGACACTGCAACTATTTGCAAGAAAAATGACATGTAAAGCAAATTGCCAATAATGCACAAAGAAGGCTTTCTTTACCACCCCATAGGGAGATTTCTACTTGCAAGGCTACCAACTGTTCATGAATACTGCTGCAGGAGAAGAACAGACTTAGCATTTTAGCATGTAAACACTTTAATTAAGGTACTATATTCCAGTGAACCTACATCTGTGCCCTTCATCCCCATATTTAATACATGTTTTACATCACTTTCCAAAGAGCTCAGAGCAATTTTCTTATAGTTCACAGACCTTAGGGAATCAAAAGCACTTGAGCTTAGCAGCAGTGAACTACACCATGTGTTTTAAGTCCGTTCTGTGCTTAATACTCTTGCCCCTTTATCTAGATTTTCAAAGGCTCAAAGCCAACAATCCAGTGCAAATGTATAGCGGAAGCATATTAAAATCCATGAATCAAAATGGCAGAAATTCTGTAATAGAAATCTTGTTAAAATTACATACATGCCAGGAAGATAAAAGAATACAAACTTCTTGCTTAGAATAAAGAATTTGTTTCAAAGCAGAGAGGTGAATAGATGGGTATTTAAATGCAAGTCATGAGAGTATAACTAGAATGCCTTTGTAGTGATTTCAGTAGCAGCAGCACTGTAAAGTCATTAATGTAATAGATCCACTTAAGAGAGAAAAGTAATCCAAAAGGTCTAATCAAGTTTTCTTTATCCATATAAATGGCAAATTTACAATCTTGCAGCTGCAAGGAGGAAAATCTGGCAACTCCCTAAAAAAAGGTTCACACATTGAGTTCGGTCACAATAACAGAAGTAAAAACAAATGATCCGTTAAATAAGGTGTATATGGGAACATGTTCTTTTTAAACTTGGAAAACAACAGCCACTAAAACGCCGATATAAATATTGAGGCAATTTTCTTCAACCTCACATTGCTTCCAAAGCAATGAAATTTCAAATGCCTTTAATCTGGGATGAAGAAAGTTTCTCAAAATGTGAATAACTGTTCCTTAAGATACGCTGCTTCAAAAAGCATCTTGGCTAACCTCACATTTCTGAGTGTCAGAAATTATTATTCAGGTATACTTGTTATGCAAGGTATGCCTGTGAGGAGAGGAACTTGAAGAGATCATACCTGTTTTACCCATAATTTCTGTCAGCCTCACTTGCAGGAAGGTGGCTGCCTATAGTAAAAAAACAACCTTCAGTATCAGTGAAGGCTTTGCTAACAGTTTGGAAACTTGATTTTCCATGAGAAACAATACAAAAAGGATTGTGACTACAGAAGGCTCTCCAGTGAAGATTCACCTTTCTACATATGAGGACGATGAAAGCTATGGAGGAATGAAGGTAGCATGCCCATACCCTCTTCGCTCATACAACTTACTACGGGAAAGGAATGCTTGATGAGGGCCCAAATTACCTACAAAATCTCAAATTCGCCCTCAGCATGCCTGTCAACCTTAACAAAGCTTCTAAAACATTCATATCTATACCTTTCTTTCTGAACTATTACCTAATAAATATTAAACATAGAAGTTTCATTTAGTACACTCACATCTATTTTATTTGAATGATGGCAAAAATGCCACTTATATAGGTAAAAACACAGGTTAGAAGTAAATGTTTTATTCTTTCAACTAAATTCCAGTACTACAAGGGCAGTAAAACAATGATACACTGAAAAATTGCAGCAATAAACATTTGTTAAAGACTGATAGAATAAATAAAACCTACAAAAATGAGAACTTATATAAACCCATTCTTAACCCCCCAAAAAGTCATGGAATACAAAAATGCCCTCCTTCACTATTTCACAGGCAGTACTGTGGGCTATTTGCTTAGAAGTTGTCCAGGGATTACATTCTAATTTAACTGTGAATACAACTTTGCAGTGCACAGTTATGAAAACCACACTAACTTCAGTCAGAAGTGTCATTCTACACTTTTATTTACACAACCAGTTAAGGGCAGAGCTCTAATACACCAGCTTTAATCCTTTTACTTTTCAAACTTATTAACAGAAGCCAAATTGTAATGATACAGCAAATGAGACCACTGGTATTAACAGGTAGCAAAGGTCCACATCCAGGTGGTACTGACATCAGGGAGCACTCCAAAACCAGTTGCTGCATAAGAGTGGTTGCCACTGACAAAAGCTTGAAATAACCAGTGTATACAGAGGGGGGGGGGGAGGGAATATGGCATTGTTGCAAGTCTTTAAAGGACAGCTTGCAACAATAGAACAGGGTTTCAGGGCTGCCCACATATGCAGAAAACATGATTCATGAAACATCTGAAAAGGAAACAAGAATCAAGTCAAGAAATAATATAACTGAAGAACGTACACAACTAAAACACAGCAAGAAACCCAGTTAAAAAGTGAAGACCACTCCACTTTTGGGATGATTCCACTCTTAGAAGAGTAGAGAAGTAGAGAGTTCCATTCCACCCCATTCTACTTTCTCAAACCACCAAAATCTAACATCAAGGAAGATAGCTTAAAATACTTACAACTTGCAGGCTGTTCTCCATATCGTCGCATGATTTGATCATGCGTAAACTTCACAAATGCGTCATACTGTTCTGTGATCAAAGAATATTTAAAGTAAGGTACCATACATAATGCTTCTTTACAAGACAACACAAGGAAAATATTCTTTAAACATTGCATGCAGAGATGGAGTTCAATGTTTGGCATTCAAAGATGAATACGCTTGCTAAAACATGAATCTTTCTTAAAATTTGTTTTTAGGGTTGTGGTATCATCTGAAGAAATGCAGAGTGAATGTCAAGGGGATGATGAATTGCCTTCCCTCATGAAAATAAACCATTGTCCCCTGTTCTATCCATATTGCATCAGCTCCTTCAGTATCATGACTGAACAAATAAGCATTTTTCCAGTCTAGGTCTGCACGTTTTGGATGACCTCAAAGGGTCACAAGTGGCAAAGCCTAGGGACATCATGCTGCAGTATTTTATTACATTTCGTTTAGCACTGAAAAGTATTTTCTTAATTATGCAGAAAAGGATAATAGTATGCTACCAAGATTTTACTAAAAAAGTCTAGTCATCTTAAGGACAAATGCTTCAAGAAATTCAAATAACATTTCCACTGCATATAACATATGGAGATATATGCAAATATCTCAACTGCTGGCATAACAGTTATGCCTTTCCTCCATTTTTCACAAGGGTAAAGTTATCCCAAAACAAATTGGTGGGAATATAGCAGTTAAGGGGAAGGTGTTCTATTGCACAATTGAAACCTTCTCCTATAAAAGGAAATTTGCAGCATATAAGTAACTCTTGATATCTTAATAATTAGTCAAACGCTCCTCTAAGAAAATTTGAGTCGACACAGAGTGCTAACTGATTCTTATAGTATCCCATCTTCCTCTCCTTCCTCATCGACTGTAACTTGTCAAGCTAAGAAGCAAGCAACCTAGAAGCCACCAAATGTTGGCTAAGAACATTCAGAATTCTTGAACATTAATCTTTACTGTGCTTAAAGATAGTGAAAAACATCTAAAAAAACTAAATGATTTCAAAGTTAAGTGGTGTAAATTAATCAAGCTGTTCCTGCAAAGCAGAAAGGTCATTATTTGAAGCCAGAGTAAACTACAGCAATTGCCATCCAGAAATATGTAGTCATACAACAACATATCAACAAGCTGAGCATCAGAATGGAAAATATAACAGTTGACGTACATTTTGTTTTTATCATACCTGCAAGTTTTGTGGTCAAGATTTCTTCATACTCTTCACGGATTTTCTCTTCACGTTCTTTGAGCAAGCGTTCACAGATCATTCCAACTTGTCTGAGAGTAAAGAGGGGCTGTTCTTTTTTCAGTGGTGGTGACGCTGCAGATGAAGTACCTTTGAACAAATATTTCCAGAAGTAATTCAAGTATGCTTGAGAGGATCTTCCAGAAGACTAATGAAGATAACAGTTCACTTTAAAGTACTTTGAGAATCAGATTACAACAATCATGGAAACTTAAACTCTAATGAAAAGACTGCATTTATAACCCACCGGCTTCAGTACATTTTAAGTACAAGCCTCTGAATTAAATGTTGGCCATGTATTAAAATCAGCAATTATAGAACTATGCAGCCAATTTAGTGTAGTGGACAAGGGACCAGATTCGAAATTGGGAGACCATGACGTCTTTGACAGGAAGCAGCTGGGTGACCTTGGATCAGTCACTCACTCTCAGCATAGAAAGCAGACCGAGGTAAATTAACTCCAAAACCTCTTGCTCAGAAAAACTGCAGGGACTAGTTTAAGCAGTCACCATGAATGAAAAACTGACTTAAAGGTACACACACACACACCACACATACACTCACCCACACAAAGTTAGAACTATAGAAGTATGCCGCCATTGAGTAAGCAGCAATATAAATTTTCCAAACAAACAAAGATCCATCAGATGTAGTAACGGTAGAAATATCAAATTTCTACAATCATTCAGATGTTTTATTTACAAATGGCTAAAAGTGAATGTGACCCAGAATTCTCATGCATTCCACTCCACAGTGCACCTGAAGACAGAAGAGGGGGGCAGATGGGGCGTTGTCTTACCTGAACGCCTTTTTCAGCATGATGGAGAATCCACCAATGGGTTTTGCTTGTCTTCTGCCCGTAGACTAAGTCAGCCAATTGCCACGCCTCTCTTCCTGGGCCCTCCTCTTCACAGTCTCAACTGAGGCAAAGCTGTTGGCTATGTTTCTGTGTGCTGGCTCAATCTTTTCCCATCACAGGACCTGACTGGCCCTAAGGGTGGGAGTGGATTCTCCATCGTCATTCTGAGAAAAGGTGTTCAAGAAAGACAACGCCCCTTCTCCAGCATGACGATTGGAGAATCCACCAATGGGACGTGCCAAAGCTTCACTGTCCCTGTGGGTGGGAAGCCGTCTGGGCCTGTGTCCCACTTCCTGACACTACGCATTGGAGGACCCTCCTGCCAAATGACACCTCCGCCGATGTGAACTTATCTAGCTTGTAGTGTCTTGTAAAAAGGGAGGGTGATGCCCATGTCGACACCCTACATATTTCCTCAATTGGTGCCTGAGTCGCCCACACTGATGTTGCATCGCTGCGAGTGGAGTGAGCAGTGATTTGTCTAGGAACTGCTAGCGACTGCCCCTGGTATGACTCTGCTATGCACTTTCTGATCCACCTGCCAATTTTGGATGCTGTGACCCTTCAACCCCTTAGTGCGAGTGGAAGGAAACGAACAGGGCCCCCGATTTACGGAAGGGTGCCGTTGCTTTATGTATTGCCTTAAGGCCCTGCGAACTTCCAAGGTGTGCCATTTGCGCTCCAGTTCATGGGAGGGCTGAGGACAAAAATCTGGTACCACCACCTCTTGTGCCCTGTGGAATAGGGAATTGACCTTGGGAATGAAGGAGGGGTCCAGACATAGGACCATCCTGTCCGTGTGGAAGGCACAGAGATCTTCTCTAACTGATAGTACTGCCAATTCTGAAATGCGCCTTGCTGAGGTAACGGCGACCAGAAATGCGACCTTAAGGGTCAAGTACTGTAATGTGCAGGTCCGAATAGGTTCAAATGGAGGAGAAGTAATAGCCTGTAGGACTTAGACCCCAGGAGGGATACCTGTGGACCACTGGTGGTCTGTTGTTTGTTGCGCCTTTGATGAAGGCTCGCACTACTGGGTGTTTGGCCAGTGGTTCAGAGTTGCAATATGTAAGAATGGTGGACAGAGCGGTCACCTGTCTATGAATTATGTTGGGTGCTAGGCCCCTATCCAGACCCTCTCCTAAGATTCTAGGAATAGTAATACTAACGGGGTCTAGCTGCCGCCTTGCGCACCAGCTGCAGTAATTTTTCCATGTGGGGTCGTAAATTCTGTTAGTTGTAGGCCTCCTTGAGGCCTGTATCGTCTTAATGACTTTTGGTGAATAGGTCTCCCCTTCTAAATTAGTGCCAGGCGGCTAATTGGAGCCACTGTGGCTCTGGATGTAGTAGAGCCCCCTGGCTGAGGGAGATTTGATCATGCGGAATCCTCCATAGAGGGGATGTAGACTTACGAGGTCAGCAAATGACGGCCGTCTTGGCCAGTGTGGTGCAATGAGTATCACCTCTGCTTGTTCCTGCAATATCTTTCTGATGGTTGCCTGTATCAGTGGAAACGGTGGGAAGGCATATAGCAATCCTTCTGGCCAGTGTCCCTGTAACACATCTGCCCTCTCTGCCCCCAGTGACAGAAAACGGGAGAAGAACCTCTGGAGCTGAGCATTCTTGGGGCTGGCAAATAGGTCCAGCACTGGGTGGCCGAACCTCTCTGATGCTTCCCTGAAGAGAGCTGGGTGCAGGCTCCACTCTGGTCTACCGTTGCCCTGCTCAGAAAGACTGCCTGTTGATTTGTTTCTCCTGATATGTGTTCGGCCCTGAGGGAGACTAGGTTGCTCTCGGCCCAGGTTCCCAGCGATTGGGCCTCGGTCATGAGGGACCTGGACCGTGTGCCTGTCGGTTGTCCTGGGCTTTGGCCGCCACGTCTGTGAGAACTAGGACATGCTGATCCGCCACTGTGTTGTAAAAGTAATGGAGGGCCAGGTGTATGGCTCTGAGCTCTAACCAGTTTATGTTGTGTTTTAGATCTTTCTTTGACCATTGGTCCTGTGCCAGTTGTGATTGCAGGTATGCTCCCCAACCAAATAGACTAGCGTCCATGGTTAGAATGACTCAGTCGGTCTCCTTGAACATATGTCCCTTTCTCACCGCTGAAGACGACCACTGGAGCGACTTCAGTACCCTTGGTGGAACCCTTACTCTTCGGTTGGAGGAGCCGGTTCCCCTTTTTTGGAATGGGAGTAGGAACCACTGCAGATCTCTGGAGTGTAGCCGTGCCCAGGGCACGATTGCTAGACAAGAAATCATCTTTCCCAGAAAGTGGGAAAGTGTCGCCAGTGTTGTGGTTCGCTTCTTTCGAATCAGCCTGACCAGGGTTCAAATGCTGTTTTTGTGTTCTCGGGAGAAGAAGACTTCACACTTTAGTATGTCTATCACAGCTCCCAGATGAAGAAGACGGGTCGATGACTCTTTTGGAAATTTACTGAGAACCCGTGTTCCTGAAGGGTTGTTAGTGTCGGGTCTGACTGTGCTGACGAGGATTGGATGAGAATGTCGTACAGATAACATTGGATGCGCACCTGAATTGTTCGCAGGTGTGCAGCAAGTATCGCCAGTATCTTTGTGAATACTCTGGGAGCTGAAGAAAGTCCAAAGGGCAGGGCCCTGTATTGAAAATGCTGCCCTGCTTGACAGAACCTGAGGAACTTCCGGTGCTTCGGAAGTATGGGGATGTGAAGGTAAGCCTCCATCAGGTCTATGAATGTCAGGAGGTCTCCCCTTCTGATGCTTGCTAATATTGACTGGAGAGTTTGCATTTTGAATCTTCTGTATGCCAAGTGAGTGTTTAGACTTTTAAAGTCTAGAATTGCTCTCCACCCCCCCTTGAACTCTTTGGGACTATCAATAAGATGGAATAGAATCCCTGTACCTGCTACCCTTTTTGCACCAGTTCTATGGCCTGGATGTCCAGGAGGTGCTGGATGGCCTCCTTGATAAGATTCTTTTTGGTCGGATCTTTTGGAGATGGGCAAGGTATGAAACGGTTCGGGGGTTTGGAGATGAATTCCAGTGAGAGGCCGAATCTGACGGTATTTAAGACCCAAAGATCCGTGGTGTGGCTTGCCATTTGTGAGCGAAAAGGGTTAGCCTGCCACCAATGGGGGAGTCCTCCCTGTCACTTGGATTTTCGGAAGGGGCGGTCCCTCGCTCCTCAAAAGGGCCATTTTGACGGGAATTGTCTGAATCTATCCCTGTTGCCATTTCTATCGCCCTGTCTGTCTGATCTGGGCTGATAGGGACGGGAAAAGGAATTTTGTTCTGGGCCTGCCTCAGATCGAAAGGACGGTCTGCGGGGGTAGGAGGAGACTCTCCTCTCCATTCTCCTTGACAGGTGGGCCAATACTTTGCCTCACCAAAGAGCAGGCCGCCCTTGAAGGGCGCTGCCGCCAACCGCCATTTTGCCTTAATGTCGGTTTGCCAGTGTCTGAGCCACAGCAATTTACATGATGCAGTGTTGTACGCTATTGCCCTTGCAGAATAGTTTCCTGCGTGTAAGGATGAATCCGCCATGAACTCCTCTGCCACCACTAACCTTCTTAATTCCTGGTGGGTTCTCTCCTCCTCCAGGGAGGTCTTCGTCTGGAGTTGGCGCAGCCAGAGCAACGAAGTCCTAGCGAAAAAGGAGGTCGAGATGGCTGCTTTGATTGCCCACGCCGAGGACTGGTGTGCCCTGCGGAAGGTGAGATCCGCCTTCTTATCTTCTGACTTCAGGGCCTCTGCCGCATCCCCGGTTACCGTGGATGAAGAGAAAAGCGCAGCTAGAGGTTCATCAACTGTCGGAACTTCTATTACCTCCGATAAGGCCAAGTCTATGTTGAACAGCTTGTCTGTCCTCCTCCATTGGAAGAAAAGACCCTGGTGCCCCCAGATTATTCTGAATTGTATCAAAGAAGAGGGGGGGCAGGGAATAAATTGTTGTGTGTAAGTGGGCTGTGAGAACACCCTGTTGCTTGTGACCTGACTAGGTGAAGGTCCCTCCTGAGGAAGCACAGGTCTCTCAATTTTGGCGGTGCTGCTGGCCTTGTGGAACAGGGACTTGAATAGAGGTTAAAGAGACACGCGAATGGTGGAGGGTCTGGGGATATGTCATTGTCCTCTGACAGCCCCTGATCCGTTTGCTCATAGTCCGCCACAGGAGATCTCCTGCCTCTGGAGGACCAAGAGGGGGAAATTGAGTCCTGGTATACAGAGGCTTCCTCTTGGGAAAGGTAGGAATGACCTCTTGAAGTAACAGACCCAGCTCTGGAGCAATGATATTTTGAAGAGGCCATGGCCTCGGCGACGGCCTGAGATATCAGGGATTGTAAGTGTTCTGATGACAACACTCCATGATTGTCTGAGAGATGAGGACCTGTTGCTGTCCCCGGGCCTTCAGGCCCTTCACTTAGAGGAGATCCAATTGCCTGCTCTGCATCAGCCTCTGTTTCCAGAGGTTCCTGACTAGGCTTCATCGGACCAATATTTCCTCCTCCTTGTAAGTAGGTGGGACTAGACCAGTGGTTCTCAACCTTTCTAATGCCGTGACCCCATAATACAGTTCCCCATGTTGTGGTGACCCCCAAGTGGGTGTGGCCACCAATAAGAGGGAGTAGGACAGCTAGGGAAAAGGGAAAAAAATGGAGGACAGCGTGGTTTGGCGACCCCAGTGAAATGGTCATTCGACCCCAAACAGGGTCCCGACCCACAGGTTGAGAACCACTGGACTAGACCGTCTTCTGCTGTGTTTTGTCTCTTTTGCCGGATATTGCTTTGGCCTTGATCCTGCCTGCCGCCTCCCAGTTGGATGATCTTGGCCTCTTACAACCAGGGGGGCTAACGGAGGGTTCCTGCGCTGTCTGGGCAGCGTTTGTGTCTGCCACTGGCACAAAGAGATATCTCAGCCAAGACTGAGAGAAATCTCTATTAAGAGGCCTGGTGGAGGACCGGTCTAGTCCAGGAGACAATCTGTTAGAGATTGGAACAAGTTCTGGCTAAATAGAGGGAAGAAAGTTCTTTACTCCGATGCTTTGAAAAAAAGGGAAAGCGGCTTGAATCCTCCCCCCACTCCGCTCCAGAGAACACGTGGAGTCAAAATGGTGACTGATCTACCTGTTCGCTCTCCACAGTTCAGCTGAGTTTCCCGAAAAACATTAGAGTTCCGTTTGCCCTTTGCCGGCTAGCTGGGCTTCAGGACAAATTTGTGCAGAGGGAGCCGCGGGAACCCTGTTAGCTCTCCGCGGATCAGCTGGCCTTTGGGGAAGCCGCGTGGAAGCCCATATCAGCCGGGCTTCGGGGAAGCCCCGCGGAGTCCTTATTGCTGCGGTTGGAATGAGTAGGCTGAAAATCAGGAATTTCAGCTGCTCCGCAGAGGAATTAACTGAGGCTCTCCCTGGGGGGGGGGGCAGGGCATTGGAAGTGGAATCCTTCTTTCGCCCTGGAGTGCACGCGGTGCCAAAATGGCACCTGGCTCTTTGTCCTCCAACAATCAGCTGAGGTTAGAACAAGCCTCGCGGTTGCTTTGCAATCAGCTGGGATTGCAAAACCAAACAGCCATTCGTTTCCACTCCCCCCCCCCTTCAAGTAGAAGTTAAGAAATTTTAAAAAATACGACCTGATCTAATGATTTGATCCTGGAGCCAAGTTGAATGTCTGTTTGGGCTAGAGACTAAGTCGAGACTGGGAAGAGGAGGGCCCAGGAAGAGAGGCGTGGCAAAACTGGCTGACTTAGTCTATGGCAGTGTTTCTCAACCTTGACAATTTTAAGGCATGTGGACTTCAACTCCCAGAATTTCACAGCCAGCACTGCTGGCTGTGGTATTCTGGGAGTTGAAGTCCACATGCCTTAAAATTGTCAAGGTTGAGAAACACTGGTCTACGGGAAGAAGACAAGCAAAACCCATTGGTGGATTCTCCAATCATCACACTGGAGAACTCACTAATTTTTCTTTCCCCTTACAGCCCTATTACTCCAGCTATATTAATTTTGTTAGATGTACATCCTGCCTTTTCTCTAGAGCAGGGGTCTTCAAACTTGGCCCTTTTATGACTTGTGGACTTCAACTCCCAGAATTCTTCAGCCAGGCATGCTGGCTGAAGTCATAAAAGGGCCAAGTTTGAAGACCCCTGGTCTAGAAGCTTAAGGAGGCATACCATAGAGTAGAATGGTTTGAGCAAGTGGCTAGCTCGAAGACAGCTTTGATGAGTGAGGATGAACTAGAACATGGATCTTCCTAGTCTTAATCTAGCACTGTAATAACCATCATTTCTTTTTGATTCAACCATGATTAGGAAGTCTAATAGCAATGTTCCCAGGGAAGCAACAATGGATAGTTAAAGAGCTTGAGAAAGTAACAAAATTATTTTTCTTTCTTCTTTCCAGTAAGGTTTAGCTTTGTTAAGAGTTCCTCCCCCCCAAATGAAAGAAAATCCAGTTCAATTCACTTCTGAACATAAAATACGGGTTATTCCAACTCCATTTATCATGCCAAATTCGTTCAATAAAAGCTGGGAAAGGGATATCACTAAAATATTATGTGTGTGTCATGTATGTGTTTCACTTTGAGAGCGGGCAACTAAATTTCATTTTTGATGTGTGCCGTTGTGCCCGTAGTAAAAAAATGACAATAAGGGTTATCTTATCTTATCATAAACAGTTCATAATTTTAAAAAAATTACTCCAAGAACCTAAATGTTGTAAAATTTTGAAGTCCTAAGTTGCACAATTAAAGTAGGAGCTGTGAAGACTGATGAGGTGCCTTCTCAGTAGTGCCCGTGTCTTATGCATTGCTCTGCCTCCCAAGATGATGTCCCCAACCTCCAGGCCTTCAAGATCTTTTTATTACATGTATATGGAAACTGATAATTCTTGGGCTTAATCAGATTGTTGATGGTTTATATTGTTTTGCTTGTACTGTAAACTACCTCAAGCCCTTAAATTGATAGACTAAAAATAAAATAAATGAAAAAAGATTTTGTGTCTCTTTTCCCTTCTTTCTCCCTACTGCACCAGCCCTACCCCTACAAGTGTGATCTGGAAGATTTCTAACCCAGGAAGGATGGCTCAAGCTGTGGAACACCCAAACCTGCTAGCAGTATCTATTCAGCTGGATAAGCAGCATTAAATTTTAACTTAAAACTCATGCTAGTAATAATACTAATATATCACTGTGATTCTTTTGATTCTCTATTTAGAGAAAAACACAATCTGACCTAAATTCAAATGCATTCTTATTCTAAAATCTTCACCTGGCAAAGCTGGTCCAGAAAGAAGAAATGCTTGTGACTGTGCATCAGTAGAACAACAAGGATCTGTTTGGTGAAAGTTTTCTAGATGTCTTCTCTTCTGCATGCGTTTGTATTCCTGTTTTATATTGTACAGAATTTGCTCTAGAAAAAAGAAATGTACTGAACATGAGTATGAATTCTATCTCAATCATTTCAAACAATTTAAATTAAAAGAAAATACTCTAACAAATGGTGTTACAGGTATTGTCAATTGTTTCAGAAGTTCAACTTACCAACTAAACTTATCAAATAAAAATCATTCTACAATTTCCAACCCTATTCACACCTTTCATATAGCTGCAAGATATGAAATAAAGAAAACAGCATTAAGCCCACTGATAGTGTTTCCTGCTTTCTCCTAGATAATAATAGCATGGAAACTAACCACCTATGTTTTCCTTCCACAACTTAGCACTAGTGGAAATATAATTCATATATCTTTTCAGGTTTCAGACCAAGAAAGGTATAAAATGTACTTCTTTTATTCCTACACATATATAATATTGTTCTACTAGTTAGGTTACATTACAGAAGCATCCACAAGTTTTGCAATATAGGTAATCTTTAACTTACAACCATTCATTCACTATCCATTCGAAGTTACAACAACACTGAAAAAAGTGACTTATGACCATTTTTCACACAACCCTTGCAGTATCCCCATGGTCATGTGATCAAAATTCAGATTCTTGGCAACTGGTATGTATTTATGACAGTTGCAGTGTCCTGGTGTTATGTGTTCACCATTTGCGACCTTCTGACAAGCAAAGTCAATGGGGAAGCCAGATTCATTTTACAATTGTCGCAAGAAAGGTTATAAAAAGGGGCAAAACCCACTTAACAACTATCTTGCTTAGCAATGAAAATTTTAGGCTGAATTATGGTCTAAGTCCAGGACTACCTGTAATTGTTCACTGCACACATATTAGTATCTTCAATAGGAGCAATTAAGTAACATATTTTATATTGAAAGCTACTATATTTTTTCTGTGAAAATTCAGCATTGCCTTTCTTGTCCCTCATCCAATGATTTCTGTCCAGTGTCCACAGAAGCAGCCATTACTCTATTACAGTGGTACCTTAGTACTCAACTGCTTTGAAACTTATTAAATTTGGTACTCAACACATTGTGACATGAAAATTTTGTCCCGGTACTCATTGTTTGTTTGGTACTCAATGCACAAGCTAGAAACTTGTACGTGTTGGCTGCCTTATGACTCACTACATTATTCCCTATGGGAAAAATCTGTTTGATATTCATTGGTTTTGTAACTCATCATGCTTTCTGGAACTATTTAAGGATGAATACCAAGATACCACTATGTTTGAGAATCTTGTCCATGACCAAAGAAGTATATTTTTGCTTGCCTGTTATATCTCCAAGAAGATTTAATTGCTTCACAAAAACCTCAGAAACGTATTTTATTCTGTCAGCAAATAATATATCTAGCACCAAGATTATAACAAAAAGCACATTAAATTATCTGTATATAAAATTGTAACATTTGGAGATCTAAGCCCTGCAATTCACATAAAAACTTGCCTCTCCCCGATATATTATTTTGGAATCCAGATGTACAACAACTCATGGTTGCTAGCTATTTCAATTTACCAAACAACTTTTCTTATTATGGACTCCATTCTTTCTTACAGGCAGTCCCAATGGAAGCGTAGTTTAATAACTAAGCTCAATTAATAATTATATAAATTTATACCTAGAAAAAAAATATTGAAGGGGGAAAGGAAGAAAAATGGTAGAAACAATCTCAGATGAACAATCACCTAGTTAGAACATCTCTAATCTGAGAAAACTATGAGCCAATATTTCACAATAATGAACCTCTTAGGCAAACAAATTCATTTAAGGGCCACTGGAGACAACAGTGAACATAAGGATATCCATAACAGCATCAGGTAACTCAAATACACCAACTAGCCACCCTTGCTAAAATTATTAGCAAAGTTGTACTTACTATTGATGTGTACTCTATTCATATTGCTAAAGACAGGAATCTTATTCTCCCCCCTTAATTGTCTTATGATAGCAGCTGCAATTCCTCCTACTAAAGGGATTAGCAAGAGTTACTGTAGAAAAGTACCAACTTGCAAGAATCTGGTTTCAACCTGATCACAAATCTATTAAATATGCCATCAAGTCAAATTCATAGTTTATTCCACACATCAGCAACATTTCTATAGATTTTCTTTCAGGGCATATAAAAATCATTGACTTTTTAATAAAATAAATCTATTTTATAAAATGGAAAATAGATTTCAGAAAATGATTAGAATTCAAAAAGATAATTTCTAATTATATTGTAGGGTACTAAAAATATGGAAATGAGAACAGTTAACTGCTCTAAAAGTGAAAAGACAACGTCAATGAAAAGACAGTATGATGGAGTACACCTGGAAAAGGGAGAAGAATTTGAATATGACTTTGAAGATAAAGTAAAACAAAATGGTGAACAGACTACATTCCTGAAGTCTTTAGTGTTCGAGCTTTTGCCTGAAGTATGTCATCAAAATGTTTAGTATATAGATTGTCAGGGATAATCCTAAGAATTTACCTGAGATAAAAAAATTCAAAAGAACTGATTATCAGCATGTGAGGTTGCAGTATTCCATTAATATAGCAAGAGTTTGGTATTTCAAAAAAAGCCAGTGTACTAAATGTAATTAGTTTGTAGCAGATTCCCTGAATAAAGCAGGAAATCTAAATTAATTCTCTTTGAATTTGAGCTGATTTAACTCCAAGTGACTTCACTAGTGTTATCAGCGTTTATTCTAGATTCATTATTTACAAAATAATTTTATATGGTATGCATTGTCTAGAAACATTCTGAATGTTGATGAATTTACATTTTTATCAAACACCAAAGATGCATTATTACTATAAATGAGAATAAAATCTTCCTAATTAAAATATTGTGGTTTGAATTATTTGAATAATTATTTAAATATATTGGATAAAATCCTCCCAACTTCCTTTAGAAGACGGTTGTTAAATGCAGCTGGATAGTGAGCTTAAATATGCATGCTCATGAAGATTTGCCACCAAAAGGGGACACATTAGGATTTTTCTAGGACTGGCAAAGCTAATGTCAGGAAGACAAAACTTGAAGTGAGTTGAGGTTGGTAAAAAATGCTAAGAACAATATTGAGGGCTTCTTTGAGTATCTTTAGAATAAAAAAGATTCAGTGTACCAGTGGCTGAAGACACAGAAATGCTGATAAATAAAAGGGAAAGCTATTCATCTTTGATTCAGTTTTAATTAAAAAAAAATCCCACCAGAATATTGTAAAGAGCAAAATGAAGTAGCAAATGTGAAATTTCAGTCCAATAGAAATGTTAAGAAATCTCTTTATTTTAATGTTTACAGCAAATTTCAAAGTAAACCACATTCTAAATTACTATCTAATGACTAGATCAGACTTCATTGTTTTATCACAGAGAATTCCTGGAGAAATGGTAAAGAGCCAAATTACTAAAGGAGACAAATGCTCCTCTTTTAAGAAAAAAAAAGTGGGGAAAGGAGAAACTACAGACAAATCAATATGACATTGATGTCTTCTCATAATATTTTTATACAAATATGTCATATCCCAATTTTTAGTGACTCAATGAAATATGATGCAACATTGTTCCATTTCAATAATGTAAACATTGTTCCATCACAATAATGTAAATAGCACCACTTCCACATTATGCCTATTATGCCATCTATAACCTCAGTTTCCCTTTGACACATAGCTTGACATTTTCAATGTATGTTACGCTATTATTAAAAGTGTCATTATTATTTAGTAATCAGTGGATATACAGCAAACAAGACATATTAGTTCTTCAAGACAATCAAGTGCTCTTCCAGGTATAGCATCCTAGATACTAACTATTCCTGCTTCAAGCAATATATACAGACCTGACCTTGTGAGGCGGATTCATGTTGATCATACTAGGAGAATAGCCAGGTTTTTTTTGTTTAGTATGGATTTTAATTTTTAAGAAAAGAGGAAAATCTAGAAAAAATTAACATATATCCCAAATTAATATTCTGATATTATTTAAGTTAGATATTAGATACATAATTTTACTTTTGGAATAAAAATAAATATGGAAGAGGATATTTAAAATATTTTATGGAGACTGGTAAAAAAAAAATCAACTGACATTATATCTACATGCTTTTTCAAATTGATACTAAAGTATGGTACATTTCACATAACAAAGGAAAATATTCTATGAACACATCAATAATATTTTAACTAACTTTACTATTTTTTTAATTGTGAAGTACAACGCTTTTAGTTTTTCATATAAGGCACTACCAATATTGGGATACAAAGTACTAAGTGACTTATTACTCAACCAAACCAATTTTTAAAATGTTGCTGCAAAAGCAGTTTATTGGAACAATGTCCTAAGACATAGGCTTATATGACTACATAGGTTGCCAGTGGCATTTATGAATGTAAGCCAAGTCCATTAACACTGGATCTTGGCAGGAATTATTTACAATGTTCTAAATATGTCCTCTGATGGTTCGGTTATACATTTAAGTCATCAAATGATAAATAGACATATGTGAACTAGTTTAAGATAATGCTCACAAGGTAATTAAAAAATGTTCAAAGCCAAGCAACTGTGAAAAATGTTGAAATAGCTATACTGTAAATCAGTATTTCCCAAACTTGACAATTTTAAGGCATGTGGACTTCAACTCCCAGAATTCCACAGCCAGCATTGCTGGCTGTGGAATTCTGGGAGTTGAAGTCCACATGCCTTAAAATTGTCAAGTTTGGGAAACACTGCTGTAAATAAATGTAAGCCTCCATCTAGTAATTTAACAACTTTATATGCACAATATGGTTCTCATTAAAACTGATTTATCAAAAGCGTGCTAAGTCAAAATTCTCTTCTTGAACTTATAAGAAATGATAGTACAATTCTGGATATATTTTCATTAAGTTTCTGAGTAAATCATGGGACTCTTCCAGGTATATACTACACAGATGATTGTAGTTGCAATAAAATAATTAGTACTCTAGTATAAGGTTTAGTCTGAAAAGGAATCACATGATGGAATGAGTATGTATGTATGTATGTGTATGTATGTATGTATGTATGTAAAACTGAGAATTCAGGAAAACTCAAGATTTAAATCCCTACTCAGGTATGATGTTCACTTGGTACCTTTGCACTGATCATTTCTCAGTATAATCCACCTTTCAAAGTTTTTGACGGCAGCATAGCACACCATTCTGACCTTTTGGGGAAAGACACTGTACAAGTGTAATAAGGATACAAGTGTATTACTTTGGTATTTTGCTAACACTGCCTTGTGTTTGATTAGGTGGCCTTACAAATCCAACAAAATAAATAATTAGTGGATTTATATTATAAGAAGTTACCACCTGGAATGGTATTGTTTTTATTTTTATGGAGGGGGGACTGTGGCTATTGCTTCTTCTGGATAACGTTTCCTTTGGGAATTTAATTCTTTAAGTGCTTTGTATGCTAAGTTGCCCAGAGTCACAAGTAATTTGAAAAAAAACAATCGATAAATAAATACATAGATGTATTCATGCAGTCACTAGAAATCAAGTACAACTTGAGGAGCTTCTACCTTTTTATAAACAGTCCAACTAGCCAAAGTGTAACTATAATTTCCAAACTGAAGGAAAATTGTAGTTTGCTAACAAGAGAAAATAATTTTTATTTGTGTACAATGTCAATGCACAGCCCACTGCACAAAAAGCCTTAGTCTGAGAAAAAAAAACTAAAATATGAATGTTCCTATAGTGTAGATGACAAATGTCAAGAAAATCAATATGAAGCAGAAGAGAGCCTGATGATATTAACAAACAATACTGTATAATTGTCCAAACAAAAATTTAAAATTAGATGCAATGTTCACCCTAAAACTGTCCTTTTTCCCTTTCCTTATTACCATCTTTAACAAGTATATATCCAAATATACATCAGTTACAGCAGTGGTTCTCAACCTGTGGGTCGGGACCCCATTTGGGGTCGAATGACCATTTCACGGGGGTCGCCAAACAAGGCTGTCCGCCATTTTTTTCCCCTTTTCTTTGGCCACGCCCCTGGCACCCGGTGATGTATAAGTGGTTGGGGGTCACCACAACATGGGGAACTGTATTATGGGGTTGCGGCATTAGAAAGGTTGAGAACCACTGAGTTACAGAATCACAACTTCAAAGTTAGATTTTATCCCTCATTTATCAAATTTAGAAAGTTTTATTTTTAAACATAAAAATTCAAAGGCCTTAATCCCAGAGATAACAATACTGTGTTATAATGGAAAAGACAATACAAATATAACCAGCGATTTTAAAATATATTCCAAAACCTGGAACTTTTCTATTACAGAATATCTTTCCATGAATTTTTAAGAAATGCAACATTTCATAAAAACAAGACAAATGGAGTGGAATCCAGTTAAATCAAAAATAATTATATTTACCTGTCATTATCACTTTATATATTTACCAGGGGATATTTCAAATATGCAAATAATAGTCTATTTCTAAAATCAGATTTTCTAGTTCTCTTTCCCTAAGCATCTCAAATCTCTGAAACATCCTCCACTTTCCACAGTAAAACTGAAGGAGCTAAGGCATAGAAAAGAATCCATTAATGAGTAGATATACCATAATACAAATATAATCATGCTGATTTTTAAATAAAACTTTGTTTCAATTACCTTAGCATATAAACCTATATTTTACTCATAATTAATCTTACTGTGTTAAATAACTTACCTCTAGGTAAATATGCAGAAAAATATAATATACTTCACTGCATATTTTTCCATACACATTTTAAAGATCTTACAACTGTGAAATAATTTAGTACATATTTTACTATTATCTACAAAAACTGCATTGATCATTTTAAAACTGGCCTATTTTATGGGGGAAGGGTGCTTGTGCTTTTATTTATTTGAAGTATTGTAAATCATTGAATTAGGACTCCCAGCATTCCAGTTAGCAATGCAGCCTGGATATTCTGGGAGTTGTTGTTAAAGTTATTTTGTCCATTGAATCTATATAAGCTACCCTGAAAATTAACATGTGATATAGAAATTTTCTAAAATGTTTAATGACTATCATATCAATTGCAGCCACTATGAATAGTAATATGAATAGTGGCACCTGTGTTATGTGGGACATCTGTTTTCTATCAACTGCCCCATAATAGAAGTATGACAGCTAGCAACAAACTATGAAATAAGCCAAAGGTATTCTGCAGATCTATCATTCCTCAAAGCATATCAAGTTATCAGAAATTAATATTAACATTAATTAAAGCTATGCTATAACAATTATCACCAAGGAACACATTTTTATAAAAATCTGTATAATACTGGAAATTGTAAATGCAAATGTTGACACACCACAATTAACAATTAAAGTATTTCCAGTGGTGCTATAAGTAGTAGAATGCTTCACTGGGCATGGGTTAGACCTCTTCAACTCTTTCATTCTATGATTCTTATGATTCATTAGGCAATAACACTTTATTCTTCCACAGCAAGGATATTTCAGGTGCAAATTCCCTGTAAGACAGATTCAACCAAAAGAGAATGGACATTTCAAAGTTGCTCAGTAAGTTTTCACAGTAGCAGAGGGGCTTGTAGTTTAAGTATATGTTTATTAGATCAGAATGTTACATCCTAATACATTTTTATATGATGCAAGCATTTTTATAGGTAGAAATGTAGGTTTTTAATACAATGAAAATATATTCATATATTGTGAACTCACACTTCAAAGGAACATACCTGAGTGACAGATTTCGTATAATTACATAATTACGTGTGTGGAATTATTGATCTCCTGTCTTAATTAGTATCTTAGAAACATCATTATTAAATATTTAAATATAAGGCTGTTTCTGCACAATTAACCTGTCTATATTCTATTTTAAATGGAATTGCTTAGCTTAGCCAACCATCCATTTATACCTTTCAACAGCGTTATTCTTTAATAGGTTTTTCCAGGAGCTCCTTATGTTTCAAAAGTGTGTTTTCCAATGACTGCAAGCTGTTTAATGACTTGAGATGCCTAGCTGTCCACTGCATTGAATCAATTTTAAACCCCTACTTACATTAAATATTCATTAAGATGAATATTTCGTTTTACTTTCAGTGAAGTCACTCACTTTATGTGGTAATAAACAGTTGGCTGCATTTAGTTTTAGCAATGGTTACTTTATAACGATAATACATAATTTGTCCTACTAACCCTAAAAACTGCTCACTCAGGAAATATTCCATCATTTCTAGTATCTCAATAAAATCAGCAGTAGCACATAAATTAGATGGGATACTAAATAAATGCTCAGTACCACATCATCTAATCCCTTCCCTCAAATGCCAAAGAAGAATCAAATTATTTGCTTGCAGAATGTTGAAATTAGACTAAAGTTCACACATGAGTTTGGGGATGCCAATTACTTACCCAATTTATAGGGCATGGTATTAATATTTCAGATTGTAACCTGAAGTCTCAGGAAATAAGATGAATATCATAAACTCCGACCTTGTAATAATTTAAAGTTTCCATCATCCTTCAAAATCAAAGACATTTCCAAGAGCTAAAGCTCATTTCAAAAGAATTTACTAGGTAATCACTTTGGTACAGTGTCACTCCTTACTAAGATGGAAATGCCACCTATCTCAAACAAGGTTATGAACCGATCTAAAATCAACATTCCCAACAGGCACCTACACTTTAGACAATTATGGAATGAGAATTGTAACTATGCATGAGGGGGAAAAAGTGCCTTTTCTTCGGCCAACAGAGATATGAAAACAATACTGGAGAAAGGCCAGCTACAGTCATTATGAGAAACCACACTGTGAGGTAAGGTGAGGTAATCGTACCATCAGAGGAACAACACAGCAAAGCTTGATGTTGCCACTAATTTGTCTTTGGGAGAGGAGCCGAGATAATCACCTTAATCATATCGCTTACCAATATATACAGCCTATTTGCTGCATTCTAAACACACTCCATTTGTTATAAACTCATTATCGCTAAGCTTCAGGAAACGTGGGCACTCTTGGACTTAAACTCCCAAGCGGTGTTGGAGGAGGAGGAGGAAGAGAAGGAAAAAAAAAAGCTATCCTCTCCTCTTTAAAGCGGTCCGGCCCTTTCCCAAACGGCCTACGTTGGGTGATTGATGACAGACGCCGACCAGGTCCGCCCTCCTGCGCTGCCAGGCTCGGGAAAGGGCCCCGCCGTCTATGCTCAGGCAAAAAGGAGCTCACTCCCAGAGTTAATGGCTTCCGCAAATCGATCGATCGCCCGCACCGGGAGGGGATCGAAGAAGGGCAAAGAGGCCGAGGGAGGGAGGGAGGGAAGGCAGAGCAGGAGAACGGGCTGCAGTCGATCCTTCTCGGCCCAGAGCCCGCCCTCCCTCGCGATAACTCCCCAGTTCCTCATTCTCGCCGCCACACCGATACCTCTCGCACCGCCCAGGCCGGCGCTTTCCCAAGGGGTGGGGGTGGCAAAGGTGCGGTGGGAAGCGTACTCCCCTCTCCCAACCCGGCACAGAAAGAAGGCCGACAGTCCCCCCTCCTCTCCCCTCCCCTCGCAGCCACCGGCGCAAGCCCAGGACGACGAACTCCCCGTCGGGGGCCTCTCCCGTATTTGCCACTTCCCCACCCCCACCGCGGGGAGGGCGGCCATTTCCATTGTGCCGACACCACGGCGAAAGCAAAAAAAATAAAAAATAAGGGGGAAGAAAGAGGCGGCGGCGGCTGCTGCTTCGGTGGAAAAGCAAGAGTCCGGCCCGACCTCGTTCGGAGGGAAGGCCGGCTCTCTCCCAGGTTTCAGGGGCTCCCGGACAGTCTGTGTCCCCCTCGTTCGCTCACCGCCCCTTCCCTTCCGCGGCCCCACCCAGCCCCCCATCTTACCTGTGGTGAGGCGAGTGGACACTTCCCCGAAGGGCGAAGGCTCCATGCGCAGGTATTTCTGCGGGGACGAGGCAAAGGAGGCTGAGGAGGAAGAGGCGGCGGCCGCCGAAGCGGACAATGGAGTGCAACGCCGTCGTTTCGGCGAGGCCGGGCTCAGCAAAGGGTCGAAATCTAGAGTCCGTTTTAAGGTCGCGCCGCACGCCATGGCCGAGTCGGGCGGGGGGGCAGAGGAGGAAGAGGAAGAGGAAGAAAAAGGAAGGGGCTCAGCTGCTGAGCCGACCGGGCCTTTCGCACCGCAGGAGCGGCCAGAAGGGCTGACACGGGGGCGGAGGAGGGGGAGAGCTTCCCGCGCTGCCGCGTCTTGTCAAACGCCCGGTCGCCACCGCTCTGCGCCGCTTCGGTTTTCTCCTGCCGGCCGCCGGCTCCGCCTGCGTCTCCAGGGAGCGGCCCGGAGCTCTGGGCCCGGCTCAGCTGACTTGTAGGCTCCGCCCGCGGCAAATCCTCCCCGGGCCGTATCCGGGAGGGTGTCTAGGCCGGTGGGGGCGGCTTGACGGAAGGCTACCCGGCCTGGAGCCACCGATGAAGAGCGATGACTGCGGCGGGGGCCGTCGCGCGTCTCTCTGTGACTCTTCCACACCAGCAATATGGCGTCAATAACAACGCCGCTGATTCAAAAACCAGCTCTCACTAATGCGCTTGCGCGGCGTGGAGGTGGTGGCCGACCTAAAGGATCAGGGGAGTTGTGGTTTATTTTGGGCCATTTTTCCGCCCTCATCGTAAAGACGCTAGGCTAGAGAGAAACAGGAACCACAGTTCCCACAGTACATTGCGTGAAAGAGTCGACTTCCGGGGTGGAATTTAAATCCCCACAGCCTGAATCTCAGGAATGAAAGTGGTTGTTCCAACGTTGGGAGTAAAATAATACGGGAAGAGCTTAGTTTGCGAAAATTTTAAAAGGCCGATGATATATAAAAACTGGCTTTATAATGTTTGGCGAAGATGTAAAAGAGTCTTTTTCAAGTTGATTCCGAAGCAAATTACAAATTTTGAAAGAAAAACTGAACGAAAGGCGTCCTAAAATAAATATTTGTTTTATAATATAGGCTGAGAATTATTGGTGATTTAGTTGTGGACTTTTTTAAGCTAAATTACTCACCAAGCAATATTATTTTTGAAGAGCTTTACAGTTATGGTTACACTTTGCATTAAAGTAAGAGCACAAAACACACAGTAAACTTGACGTCTTGATTTAATTCGACTTAAACTACACCTATTAAAATAAATTGAAGCAAGATTATAATTATAGAAATCTTAGATTTTTTTTATTTTTTTTTAAATCCTGGAACTGTAGTTGGCCTAGGACCGGTAGATCAGTGTTTACAATACAGTGCCCTCCCAACTATGCTGGGTTTATCACTCATGACTGAAATTTTGAAAAGTTAAAATATGTAAGTAATTAATCTTATAATATTCCATAGAGAAACAATGTTTGCTTCTTGAATGCATCATTATTATAAATTTATGTGACAAAATCATTTTCTAGTGCCTCATGATCCTACCGTTGTTAAGTATTCAATTGATATATCTGGCCACTCCCTAAGCAATCCTCAGTAATTTAAAAAAAACTTGATTAATAGTCAGCACAGCATTGTGTCTTTAATGATTTATCATTAAAAATACAAACAGCACTGTGGACAGCAATTCATATATGTCACACTAAGATAGGTCACGTGGCTCCTGGATAGACAGGCTTATTTGACTTGGCTTCTCAGCACTGGGCTTCTCAATCAAATAAACATGGCAGGAAAGGAGAATGGCAAATCAATTCCACATTGTTGCCAAGACAAAGACATGACTGTAGCCACCAGAGGTCAAACTTGATAGAAGAAGCAGGAGTAGCAGTGGCCGAGTTTGTACTAAATTATGTTACTGGTAAACATCATTAGTCAATCTGATGTAGTGATTAAAACATGAGTTCTAGTCCTGCCTTGGTCACAAAGCCACGTGACTTTGGGCCATCACTTTCTCTCAGCCCTAGGAAGAAGACAATGGTAAACTATTTCTGAAAAACCTTGCCAAGAAAACTGCAGGGACACATCCAGGCAGTCTCCAAGAATTGGACATGAATGAATGGAATAAAAAAAAAAGTTTGCTGAACTAATCCAGTTGCCTAGATTCACACAATATGCTGTATATTAAATACATTGGCTGGATTGTTACAAGATATTGAGTTATAAATTAGCCACATCTGAGCCTGGAATACTTTTTGCCTACATCTTTTTAATATAAACGATACTCTTGTAGCTATGTGACTGGCCCAAGGTTATCCAAATGGCTTTATGCTGCAGACAGGACTAAAACACATTGTCTCCCAGTTTTTAGCCTGATACTTTAACCACTAAATTAGCTAATGATGCTTAGCAGTAACATAATTAAATTCAGCACTGCTACTACTGCTTCAAACTTGTACCAAGTTTGATCTCTGGTGGCTATAGTCATGTCTTTGTCTTGGCAACAGTGTGGAATTGGTTTGCCACTCCTCTACCATGTTTAGTTGATTTTCCAACTAGTTTACATCCTTGGAATTCTCTTCAGATTTCCCATAGAAGTAATAACTAGACCTCCAGGTGATGATCTGACTCTACTTACCTTCTGAGGCCAAAATAGGTCACTCAGATGCTGCCGTCTGCTTTTTCTGATTTCTCTGTGCTTGTAGATTGCCCATGTTTGAAGAATCCATTGATATTTCTCTCACATTTATGAGATGAGCAATTGCTTTTGAGGACATCTAGGAAATAAATGAAAATTGCATTGTAAGGGTTACAACTGACATATCAGGTTATTTTTATTTCTTCCAAATTATGTGCTGACCACATTTGTGATGTAACATCACCTGTTTTGCACTCTAAATTCCTTCCTGCCAACACTAAGTCCAGCCCTTGGTTTTCGAAATATTGCCCACCTGCTTTTAGGTGAAAAGTTAGTTTGAATTGGAGAGGAAGATAATATTTTTAGAAACTACTGACTCCATGTGATTAGTACTGAATTATGCCAAGTTTTTGTTTTGTGAAAACAGTCTAAAGATATGGTCTGTTCTCTACCCTGTAAAAAGTAAAATTGTTTAACAACAATGGCATTTCATAACCAAATTATGGATACATTTGTTACATCCAAGGACTAGAGCAGGGCTTTTCAACCAGTGGTATATATACCACTAGTGGTATGTCAGCACCTGGCAGGTGGTACATGTACAACAGGTTGAACAGTACTATAAAAAAAAGTGTAAAAGTGCATCAGGTGAAACAGCGGAGAGAAGAAGGATATAAAGGGGAGAAGAGAAGAGAGGATATAAAGGGGGAAAGAGAAGAGGATATAGAGGGGGAAAGAGAAGAGGATATAAAGGGGGGAAGAGAAGAGAGATATAAAGGGAGGAGAGAAGAAAGGATGTAAAAGGGGGGAGAGAAATTTGTTAAATGGGTTTTGCCCCATTTTATGACTTTTTTTTCCACAGTTGTTAAGTGAATCACTGCAGTTGTTAAAATAGTAACATATTGTTAAGTAAATTTGGTTTCCCCACTGGTGTTGCTTGTCAGAAGGTTGCAAAAGGGGATCACATGACCCCAGGACACTGTGACCATCATAAATGTGAATTGGTTGCCAAGAATCCGAATGTAAATCACATGACCTTGGGGATGCTACAACAGTCATAAGTAAAAATGGTCATAAGTCACTTTTTTCAGTGCCGTAGTAACTTTGAACAGTCACTAAGCGAACTGTTGTAAGTCAAGAACTACCTGTACTTTATCACTTTTTTCCATTTTTTTTGGTCAAGTTTTTGACACCTTGTTAGGCGACTGGTGGTACTTGAATATTGCCATATTCTAAAAATGGTACAATCGGTGAAAAGGTTGAAAAGCCCTGGACTAGAGAATGCAACATACCCACAAATTTGCAGATGTTAGGAACCTGAACATTGTACCCTTTCAAATGTGTTCATGTATCTTTTTAGCTATACAGTATATGGGACATTGAAATGTCTGGTACTGAGACATTTTGATAGAAGGAGAACAACATGAACATTTATTCATTAAATTTGTATAGCCACCCATCTCACAAAAATCTACTCTGGAATACAAATTACGGCCAAGAAAGCATGATTATGAAACCTAATTCAATCTAAAGACAGGCAATTTCCATATTTCCATTTGTTTAATATCCTAAGATCATCTAGTAACAGATAAAAAATAATATTACAAATAGTACCAATCATGGTTTTTTATGCATTTATTTATAACTCATTTATATTTGCAATTAATTTCAAATGACAGTGTTTCAGCTGGAATATATCAGTGCTGTTCTTTTCTGAAATGCAAAACTTTTGTAACAATATTTTAAAATAAAGAAGTGTGAAAACTGAAAATTATGAAAAAGATTTTAAAAATAAATGTACACACTTTTGATCAACATACATTTGAAATTAGGCACATAAGCCTCTGTTAAAGCACTTGGAGTTCTGTGTAAATATGCTTAGGTTTATATGGCCAGATTCCTGAAATAAAAGCTTTTAGTATCAGATATGACAGGAAGTTGTGCAATTAATCAGCCTGTGTATGCATTCTGGATTAAAACAGACTTGCTTATACAGTACTGTAATGGGATACTTCACAGCAACTTTTACTATAACACAGGATTTTAAAGTCTCTCAAGGACATGGCTCTTCGCATTTATTTTTCTTCTTCAGAAGGGTATTAACATAGTTTCAAGCCAACAACATGTTATATAAATCATTTCTCCCACATATATTAATTATGTTAGATTTTATACTTTTTTTCTTCCTCTAATGCTGTTTTAAGTATAGTTTTGAAATATCTTTTAGGCCTTTTTTCCAAGTAAGCCAACATAAGGACCTGGTTGGAGATACTTTCAGAATAAAATTGCCTCCTAATTCAAAGTCACTGTGTATGTTAGGTGGCCATATAAATTTGTTTAATAAATTAAGTAATAAAGGGAAATTGAGGACCTGGATCAACTCTTAATGTTTACTTAGCTGATAAAAATGGTCAACTGTCAATATTTTAAGGTTCTTTTTTCATTTCATTAACTCTTTTTATTATTTCCCTAGGAAGACAGCATCCCCTCCCCAAGAAAGTAATATTTTGAGGAATATTAAAAAGGTAGAATATTATATTTCCCCAAAGGATCTTAAAGGCAGAAAAGCAGGCCCAGTTTTTCTCAATAGCTCCAAGTAGAAACTAAGCAAGCCAGCTCTGTAGAAATGCAGATTTGATAATCCCATTCAGAAAGACTGAGGCCCCATTCATGAGCAAATACTACTAGGCAGAAACCCATTCAAGACAAAATATTTTGGAATCCCTTGGAGCAAGATTTGATAGCTAACAACAGCAGAGTGATAGGATTAGAACCAGCAACCCCTCAGCCAAAAATCTAACACAGGACATAGCCATCAGCTACAGCCCCAGAGAAGCAGGACATGACCTTCAGAACATAATAGGATTAACCCACCACCATTAGAATACCAAAAGGGCACACTGAAGCTCAGATCAAAATTCATGCCACAGGAACAGGAACAACTCCAAACACAAAAGCCTAAGAAAATATAAAAACCCACCACTCCCAGTTCCATGTGGTCAGCTGCCCCAAAACCATATTTCTGTCTGGTTCTGCAACTCAGTA